TCCTATACACAGTCTATATACAGTATTTGTCTATACCTACCGTCGGTGGTTACCATACAATACAGTACTCCTTTAGACAGTCTATATACAGTATTTGTCCATACTTACCGTCTGTGGTTACCATACAATACAGTACTCCTTTACACAGTCTATATACAATATTTGTCCATACCTACCGTCGGTGGTTACCATACAATACAGTACTCCTTTACACAGTCTATATACAGTATTTGTCCATACTTACCGTTGGTGGTTACCATACAATACAGTACTCCTTTACACAGTCTATATACAGTATTTGTCCATACTTACTGACGGTGGTTACCATACATTACAGTACTCCTATACACAGTCTATATAAGTATTTGTCCATACCTACCCTCAGTGGTTAACATAAAATACAAGACTCCTATACAGTCTATATACAGTATTTGTCTATACCTACCATCGGTGGTTCCCATACAATACAGTACTCCTTTAAACAGTCTATATACAGTATTTGTCCATATTTACAGTCGGTGGTTACCATACAATACAGTACTCCTTTACACAGTCTATATACAGTATTTGTCCATACCTACCGTCGGTGGTTACCATACAATACAGTACTCCTTCACACAGTCTATATACAGTATTTGTCCATACTTACCGTCGATGGTTACCATACAATACAGTACTCCTTTACACAGTCTATATACAGTATTTGTCCATACTTACTGTCGGTGGTTACCATACAATACAGTACTCCTATACACAGTCTATATAAGTATTTGTCCATACCTACCGTCAGTGGTTAACATAAAATACAAGACTCCTATACAGTCTATATACAGTATTTGTCCATACCTACCGTCGGTGGTCAACATACAATACAGTACTCTTACACACAGTCTATATACAGTATTTGTCCATACCTACTGTTGGTGGTTACCATACAATACAGTACTTCTATACACAGTCTATATACAGTATTTGTCCATACCTACCGTCGGTGGTTACCATACAATACTGTTATAGTATTAGGAGTAAATCATACAGTACTATACACATGCTATATACAGTATTTGTCCATGCTTACTGTCGATGGTTACCATACAATACAGTTCTCCTATACACAGTCTATATACAGTATTTATCCATACCTACTGTCGGTGGTTACCATACAATACAGTACTCCTATACACAGTCTATATACAGTATTTGTCCATACCTACCGTCGGTGGTTACCATACAATACAGTACTCCTATACACAGTCTTTATACAGTATTTGTCCATACCTACCGTCGGTGATTACCATACAATACAGTACTCCTATACACACTCTATATACAGTATTTGTCCATACTTACCGTCGGTGGTTACCATACAATACTGTTAGAGTATTAGGAGTAAATCATATATGTATGATAAGTAACCATCTATTTTACGCAACAAATGGTATGAATGAATATTGTATTATTACTTAAAATATTATCATTTTACCCAGTGAATTTTTATTTGGTCTGTTGATTAGTTTTCATTGATAAATTTATCAGGACTGGGTTGAAACTAACCTTCAGATTTTGAAGGCTGTATCAGGTACCAGGATTGTAGTATAAAATTTTACTACCTGTTAACCCATGAGTTAATCAATTTTATAAATCAACAAGCTATCAGCTTTACAGGCTAGGTAAATTTGTTCAATGATTGTTTCATTGTTCTTTTTAATAACAAAAAAAGTACCTGTTTCAGTAGACTGAAAATAATATTATTTTATAAAGGAGGATGCATTTAGATCAAATTGTGACATGAAAATGTCAAGATTCATTCCAAATTATGGACAAATGATAAAGCTATTAATAAAACCAAGTTGTAACCATTGCCTTTCTCTTTTCTATTTACATTATTTATGACTAGGTAATATTGATTACTTTTTTCAACTATTTTCATACTCTTTTGTTTCCTCTTCTTTTCTATCAAGGACATAATTGTTTACTGCAAACTAAACATCTGCATATTTAAACTATTCCTGACTATACTCTACCTCAAATTCTGGAAACTGCAAATTTTTTCTTATCATGCTTATGGCATGAATGGTAGCTGAACAATTTCTATTTTTTGGTAATCTGGATTAGTCTTTTGCCACTGTTCTGACCATTCTGGGGCTACATAAAAAAAAACATGACAGAATTATTAAAATTATTTGTGTATAATGTTTGTGTACAGTCATGTCCTTAAAAGGACAAACAATATTTTTAGTTTACAAATAAATAATTGTGATTTTAATATCTTAATATTATAAAAGAAAAGATTCAATTTATATTTTAATTAAAACATGAATGAGCACATATAAATCAACCTTTTACTCAGATTTAAATCTATCATCAGTTATTATAATTACTACATGTAGCTATAACTATCATCATCTAATTTTACAAGACAGTATTTATTTTGGTGGCACATCCTGCACAATTAGTATGATATGCCTTAGGTGACATTTTGATGCAATCACATTGCAGGTGGTTAATGTCTTAGGTTTTCATTAATGAATAAATTACAGTTTAGGCTGACCTGAGGTCAATAGGCATAAACAATGACGAATGTCATCAAACTATCGGATTTTACTGTAATATAATGATATTGTGACATTTATGGGAAAGAGCATAGGAGTTGGTCATATTGGTCAATAAATTTGAAAGTTTATAACTATGTTAATATTAATTACATAATAATTAAATTACCTAAAAAATCATTTCAAAGATTGCTCTTAAAACATTTTTTTAGATCAGAGCCTGTCTGCAATATATTCAGGGGTAGTTCAAATCGCTGCTGGATAACTCGGACTAAAACAAAATCTGCCTATCACAAACTCGGACTATAACAAACTCGGCCTACCATTATTTATATGCGGAAATATATTGAACAAACTCGGACTACGATTAGTAGATTGTTTTGTGGGTTTTTTTTTCTCACTTTAATAAAAAACAAACTTTATATATAAGAATTATATACGAATTTTGAGATTATGATAAATATTTTTGAAAAAAACATTGTATAGAAATGTATTAAGATAAAACTTAGCTCCATCATATTAAATATGTGTTATATGAGTTGAATTTGATGTTTGAATGAGGATAATTAACTTCTTTTTGAAATATTATTGTGATTTTCTCATTTATTATTTTTATTGACAGAAGATGTTTTAATGATTGGCGTGTGTGCGTGTTTGTATTATGTTTAATCCTTGGTGTTCATAATTAGTATACAAACAAAGAGAAATTTGATTGACAGTGAATGGCTTCTTAACAATTTCACTAATCTGTAATTCTTTATTAATGGATTCACCAATTGAAAAGTAATTATATTTAAATGGTCACATCAAACAGATACAATTTTTTTAGAAATGCAAGCCGAGGCAAACATTCATTATACATATATCTAAAAATAGATGTGGAGTAAAATTGAAAAAACAACAGAGATTTCTTTGATCTTACCATATAGTTCTATAAAATAACATGGAAAAAAAATTCCCATATCATTCTCAACATGGGTACCGACCACTGCGTCGAGTGTTCCAGAAAAGTGACAACAAAGCAACATGCCTTACAGTGTGATTCGTGTAGTTTATTACAAATTATAATACAGAAATACAAATCAGTGGTAGATTTTCATTATTAAATGAATGTATTCTTAATTTTCTTTTTATACATATCTTGTTAACGTCATTTATATTACTCGCTTTTAAAATGTTCAAAATAAATTACTTAATTAATTGTAAATCATTATTAATTTCAAATTAAGTATTGACAGTTAATTTCAAATAAAAACAAAATAAAACATCATACTTATATTCTTCTAGTAGTCCGAGTTTGGTAAAGTCCGAGTTTGTTATAGTCCGATTTTGGGAGGCCGATTATGTTATAGGCCGAGTTTGTTATAGTCCGATTTTGTTATAGGCCGAGATATCATGGATTCGTTCAAATAATTATGACTTCTTAAAAGGTTATGTTATGGTTTTTTTCTGCAGTAGGAATACTTCAAAGCCAAAAAAACACATAAAATAGGGGTTCAAGACGTCATTATGATAATAATTTGAACTAATTTGGGATAACAATACATTTAACTTTCTTTGATGTCCGGGGGGGGGGTACGTTTTGACAATTAATGATTCTTGAAAGTAACAATAATTATTTCTTATTGACTATTGTTACTTTGTGCAGCGAGCGCGATGGCCGATGTGTGGTTCTCGAGTTATTTTTTAAAAAGGGGCAGTGTTTGTTACCTATATCAAATTTACCCAGTTTTGATTCAAGAAAGAATTACAATCTAACCATAAACTCCAAGGTTCCTGCTTTTCTGAGCAGAACAAAACACGAGACATTCTCGTCTCTAATATAAACAATAGTTAACTCATTTCTTCTTACAGGTTACTTTAATCAGCTGTTTATCTGTTTACCATGTTTAAACTGGTCCGCCATTCCATCGTAGTGCAGGAGGCTCAGTGCAGGGATAAATAAACACAAAAGGGGTCCAGTTTATTTACGGGTAACGTCTGTAAACCAAGAACAATATAAAACATTGTCGACAGTCCCTCAATTCTGTATACTTTTCTTATCTTCATACTAAAGAGCTCCAAAAGTAGGCGTGCATAGATACACTGGGCGTGTCAAAAACCGACCCTCGGTGGTTAACGTCCCTCGCTGGTTAACTTTAAGTGCCGATGTCTTTAGAGCCTCTAGTTTTGTACTTATATCAGGCCATTAGTTTTCTTGTTTGAATTATTTTACTATGGTAATTTTGGAGCCTTTTATCTATGACCATGTTCTGTGACTTAAAGTAGTTTATTTCTGTGCCATTTGGTCTCTTGTTGAGATTTGTCTCATTGGCAATCATTCCACATCTTTTTTATAATCATTTACCAATTATTCAAAATTGATTAAACTAAACTTTACATATGAATGGCTGATTAAACTTAAACATGCATACTTTAGGGATAATAAATGTTATTTTTACTTTTCAGTATGTTGAGAGAAGTTCAGAACAAGCAATTTGGTTGAAGAGGAGTTGTCAACACGTCATCTTTGAATAAGGTCAATTGTATTAGAAGTAAATCCTTAACAGAAATGAGACAATAATCAAACAATTCAAAGACTACATGGATGTTATCTGGACTAGCATTTGTATGACCTAAATGTGGTATTTTTCATATGAACACTTACAAGGCAGATACTAGTCTGTGACAAACATTTGTATGCAATTAAAGACTGAAGAACTAATGTACGGTATTCTTCAGATTTCAGTAGAATTTGTTTAAAACGGTACATTCTTGGTATGAATTGAAGAATTTTTGCTCATTTTAATGAATTATGAAAATGTTTTATATGTTTAGAATAAACAAAAACAACATAAAAGATAGACAAATTTGTATTTTCTTTCTTGAAACTTATAACAGAATAAATTGTCATATGCTAATTCTTGATAGATGTGCTGCCAGAAATTTATCAAGTCTATTTTTAGCCTGAAAGTGCAACTCAATGCACAGTTATACACACAGGAAACTACATTTATCTCTCAACCATATAAAAAATAAGGATATATGGAAGGGTTGCCAATGAGAGTAACTATCCTTAAATGCCAATGATATCTTATAAAATATCTAATAAACTATATAAGATATCTAATAAACTATATAAGATATCTCATTAACTATATAAGATATCTCATATAATTTTATAAGATATCTCACATATTATATAAGATATCTTGTATAGTTAATAAGATATCTCATATAGTTTTTAAGATATCTCATAAAATTTATAAAATATCTTTTAAACTATATGAGATATCTTATAATATATCTTATATACTTTATGAGATATCTTATATAATATATAAGATATCTATATCTTATATAATATATAAGATATCTCATTTGATATATAAGATAATGTATAAAAATGAAATTATATGCTATCTTATATATTAAATAAGATATCTTATACATTAAATAAGATATCATATATTAGATATCTTATATATTATATAACATATCTTATATATTATATGAGATATCTTGAAATTCAAATAAATATAGTAAAATGACTTTCCACCTAAGAACAATTCATTGTTAAATAGATATAAGAATATGTGGTATGAGTGCCAATGAGGCAACTCTCAATCCAAGTCATAATTTGAAAAAGTAATGATTAAAGACTAAAATTGAGAATGGAAATGGGGAATGTGTCAAAGAGACAACAACTCGACCATAGAGCAGACAACAGCCGAAGGCCACTAATGGGTCTTGAATGCAGCTAGAAACTCCCGCACCCTAATGCGTCCTTCAGCTGGCCCCTAAACATATATACTAGTTCAGTGATAATGGACATCATACTAAACTCCTAATTATACACAAGAAACTACAATTGGAAATCATACAAGAGTAACAAAGACCAGAGGCTCCTGACTTGGGACAGGCACAAAATTGTGGCGGGTTAAACATGTTTTTTGGAGATCTCAACTCTCCCCTTATACCTCTAGCCAATGTAGAAAAAAAATCGCACAAAAATACGCACAGTGAAACTCAGTTTAAGAGTTGTCTGAGTTCGATGTCAGAATATGAAACAAAAGAAAATAAACAAAATGACAATAATACATAAATAACAACAGACTACTAGCAGTTACTGACATGCCAGCTCCAGACCTCAGTTAAACTGATTGAAAGATTGTCTTTTTACATTTTCATATCTTTCTGGTTTAACTTTATAGTTGAGTTGCTGTCACACTGTGTTTACCGGAATGCCACATGTTCTTCAATCCTTAAGAAAACCATCAAGAATTTCAAAACTAGATATATTTTACAGAGAGGTTATTTCACTTCTTAACACAGGTAACTTGGAATAAAGGTTTTTGATATTATTTCACTTCTTACCACAGGCAACTTGGAATCAAGGTTTTTGTTATTATTTCAGTTGTAACATAAAAATTATTTTCAGTGACTGACATGAAAAACATGACAACGTTATGTATCAGTTAGCATTGGATACTTGTGTATACGTATGACGAAGTTAAGCCGCGCTCTGTGTTTGGGGTTCACAGATACTATACCTCCCTTTTAGGTATAGGAACGTCCTCCGATCATACGTATCAAGTATCCATTCTTACTGGTACGTTAAACTGGGAGTGAGGTGGCTCAGTTTGACTGATGTGCGATGGCTCAGTCAAAATATTTTTTGCCATTCCTGGCACAAACTGAGAGAGAGGTGGCTCAGTCTGCATGTGAAGCTCTGTAACATGCTTTTAAGGGGAAAACTGAGAGCGAGGTGGCTCAGTCTGCATGTGAAGCTCTGTAACATGCTTTTAATTGTAAAAAGTATTTTATTTGTTTTTATCCAAATTTTAATTGGGGATATTTTATTGTTTTTACTGGAACAAACTGAGAGTGAGGTGGCTCAGCCTGCATGTGAAGCTCTGTAACATGCTTTTAAGGGGGAAAAAGTATTTTATTTGTTTTTATCCAAAGTTTAATTGGGGATATTTTACTGTTTTTATCCAAATTTTAATTAGGGATATTTTATTGTTTTTACTAGAAAAAACTGAGAGTGAGGTGGCTCAGCCTGCATGTGAAGCTCTGTAACATGCTTTTAAGGGGGAAAAAGTATTTTATTTGTTTTTATGCAAATTTTAATTGGGGATATTTTACTGTTTTTATCCAAATTTTAATTGGGGATATTTTATTGTTTTTACTGGAACAAACTGAGAGTGAGGTGGCTCAGTCTGTATGTGAAGCTCTGTAACATGCTTTTAAGGGGAAAAAGTATTTTATTTGTTTTTATCCAGATATTTTACTGTTTTTATCCAAATTTTAATTGGGGATATTTTACTGTTTTAATCCAAATTTTAATTGGGGATATTTTACTGTTTTTATCCAAATTTTAATTGGGGATATTTAACTGTTTTTACTGGAACAAACTGAGAGTGAGGTGGTTCAGTCTGCATGTGAAGCTCTGTAACATGCTTTTAAGGGGAAAAAAGTATTTTATTTGTTTTTATCCAAATTTTAATTGGGGATATTTTACTGTTTTATCCAAATTTTAATTGGGGATATTTTATTGTTTTTACTGGAACAAACTGAGAGTGAGGTGGCTCAGTCTGCATGTGAAGCTCTGTGACATGCTTTTAAGGGGAAAAAGTATTTTATTTGTTTTTATCCAAATTTTAATTGGGGATATTTTACTGTTTTTATCCAAATTTTAATTGGGGATATTTTTACTGTTTTTATCCAAATTTTAATTGGGGATATTTTTATTGTTTTTACTGGAACAAACTGAGAGTGAGGTGGCTCTGTGAGTGAGATGAGTCTGCATGTGAAGCTCTGTAACATGCTTTTAAGGGGAAAAAAGTATTTTATTTGATTTTATGCAAATTTTAATTGGGGATATTTTACTGTTTTTATCCAAATTTTAATTGGGGATATTTTATTGTTTTTACTGGAACAAACTGAGAGTGAGGTGGCTCAGTCTGCATGTGAAGCTCTGTAACATGCTTTTAAGGGGAAAAAGTATTTTATTTGTTTTTATCCAGATATTTTACTGTTTTTATCCAAATTTTAATTGGGGATATTTTACTGTTTTTATCCAAATTTTAATTGGGGATATTTTATTGTTTTTACTGGAACAAACTGAGAGTGAGGTGGCTCAGTCTGCATGTGAAGCTCTGTAACATGCTTTTAAGGGGAAAAAGTATTTTATTTGTTTTTATCCAAATTTTAATTGGGGATATTTTACTGTTTTTATCCAAATTTTAATTGGGGATATTTTACTGTTTTTATCCAAATCTTAATTGGGGATATTTTACTGTTTTTATCCAAATTTTAATTGGGAATATTTTACTGTTTTTACTGGAACAAACTGAGAGTGATGGGCTCAGTCTGCATGTGAAGCTCTGTAACATGCTTTTAAGGGGAAAAAAGTATTTTATTTGATTTTATGCAAATTTTAATTGGGGATATTTTACTGTTTTTATCCAAATTTTAATTGGCGATATTTTATTGTTTTTACTGGAACAAACTGAGAGTGAGGTGGCTCAGTCTGCATGTGAAGCTCTGTAACATGCTTTTAAGGGGAAAAAGTATTTTATTTGTTTTTATCCAAATTTTAATTGGGGATATTTTACTGTTTTATCCAAATTTTAATTGGGGATATTTTACTGTTTTTATCCAAATTTTAATTGGGGATATTTTACTGTTTTTATCCAAATTTTAATTGGGGATATTTTACTGTTTTTATCCAAATTTTAATTGGGGATATTTTACTGTTTTATCCAAATTTTAATTGGGGATATTTTATTGTTTTTACTGGAACAAACTGAGAGTGAGGTGGCTCAGTCTGCATGTGAAGCTCTGTAACATGCTTTTAAGGGGAAAAAAGTTTTTCATTTGTGTTTATCCAAATTTTAATTGGGGATATTTTACTGTTTTTATCCAAATTTTAATTGGGGATATTTTACTGTTTTTATCCAAATTTTGATTGGGGATATTTTACTGTTTTTATCCAAATTTTAATTGGGGATATTTTATTTTATCCAAATTTTAATTGGGGATATTTAACTGTTTTTACTGGAACAAACTGAGAGTGAGGTGGCTCAGTCTGCATGTGAAGCTCTGTAACATGCTTTTAAGGGGAAAAAAGTATTTTATTTGTTTTTATGCAAATTTTAATTGGGGATATTTTACTGTTTTTATCCAAATTTTAATTGGGGATATTTTATTGTTTTTACTGGAACAAACTGAGAGTGAGGTGGCTCAGTCTGCATGTGAAGCTCTGTAACATGCTTTTAAGGGGAAAAAAGTATTTAATTTGTTTTAATGCAAATTTTAATTGGGGATATTTTACTGTTTTTATCCAAATTTTAATTGGGGATATTTTACTGTTTTTACTGGAACAAACTGAGAGTGAGGTGGCTCAGCCTGCATGTGAAGCTCTGTAACATGCTTTTAAGGGGGAAAAAGTATTTTATTTGTTTTTATCCAAAGTTTAATTGGGGATATTTTACTGTTTTTATCCAAATTTTAATTAGGGATATTTTATTGTTTTTACTAGAAAAAACTGAGAGTGAGGTGGCTCAGCCTGCATGTGAAGCTCTGTAACATGCTTTTAAGGGGGAAAAAGTATTTTATTTGTTTTTATGCAAATTTTAATTGGGGATATTTTACTGTTTTTATCCAAATTTTAATTGGGGATATTTTATTGTTTTTACTGGAACAAACTGAGAGTGAGGTGGCTCAGTCTGCATGTGAAGCTCTGTAACATGCTTTTAAGGGGAAAAAGTATTTTATTTGTTTTTATCCAAATTTTAATTGGGGATATTTTACTGTTTTATCCAAATTTTAATTGGGGATATTTTACTGTTTTAATCCAAATTTTAATTGGGGATATTTTACTGTTTTTATCCAAATTTTAATTGGGGATATTTTACTGTTTTAATCCAAATTTTAATTGGGGATATTTTACTGTTTTTATCCAAATTTTAATTGGGGATATTTAACACTGTTTTTACTGGAACAAACTGAGAGTGAGGTGGTTCAGTCTGCATGTGAAGCTCTGTAACATGCTTTTAAGGGGAAAAAAGTATTTTATTTGTTTTTATCCAAATTTTAATTGGGGATATTTTACTGTTTTATCCAAATTTTAATTGGGGATATTTTATTGTTTTTACTGGAACAAACTGAGAGTGAGGTGGCTCAGTCTGCATGTGAAGCTCTGTGACATGCTTTTAAGGGGAAAAAGTATTTTATTTGTTTTTATCCAAATTTTAATTGGGGATATTTTACTGTTTTTATCCAAATTTTAATTGGGGATATTTTACTGTTTTTATCCAAATTTTAATTGGGGATATTTTTATTGTTTTTACTGGAACAAACTGAGAGTGAGGTGGCTCTGTGAGTGAGATGAGTCTGCATGTGAAGCTCTGTAACATGCTTTTAAGGGGAAAAAAGTATTTTATTTGATTTTATGCAAATTTTAATTGGGGATATTTTACTGTTTTTATCCAAATTTTAATTGGGGATATTTTATTGTTTTTACTGGAACAAACTGAGAGTGAGGTGGCTCAGTCTGCATGTGAAGCTCTGTAACATGCTTTTAAGGGGAAAAAGTATTTTATTTGTTTTTATCCAGATATTTTACTGTTTTTATCCAAATTTTAATTGGGGATATTTTACTGTTTTTATCCAAATTTTAATTGGGGATATTTTATTGTTTTTACTGGAACAAACTGAGAGTGAGGTGGCTCAGTCTGCATGTGAAGCTCTGTAACATGCTTTTAAGGGGAAAAAGTATTTTATTTGTTTTTATCCAAATTTTAATTGGGGATATTTTACTGTTTTTATCCAAATTTTAATTGGGGATATTTTACTGTTTTTATCCAAATCTTAATTGGGGATATTTAACTGTTTTTATCCAAATTTTAATTGGGAATATTTTACTGTTTTTACTGGAACAAACTGAGAGTGATGGGCTCAGTCTGCATGTGAAGCTCTGTAACATGCTTTTAAGGGGGAAAAAGTATTTTATTTGTTTTTATCCAAAGTTTAATTGGGGATATTTTACTGTTTTTATCCAAATTTTAATTAGGGATATTTTATTGTTTTTACTAGAAAAAACTGAGAGTGAGGTGGCTCAGTCTGCATGTGAAGCTCTGTAACATGCTTTTAAGGGGAAAAAGTATTTTATTTGTTTTTATCCAAATTTTAATTGGGGATATTTTACTGTTTTATCCAAATTTTAATTGGGGATATTTTACTGTTTTTATCCAAATTTTAATTGGGGATATTTTACTGTTTTTATCCAAATTTTAATTGGGGATATTTTACTGTTTTTATCCAAATTTTAATTGGGGATATTTTACTGTTTTATCCAAATTTTAATTGGGGATATTTTATTGTTTTTACTGGAACAAACTGAGAGTGAGGTGGCTCAGTCTGCATGTGAAGCTCTGTAACATGCTTTTAAGGGGAAAAAAGTTTTTCATTTGTGTTTATCCAAATTTTAATTGGGGATATTTTACTGTTTTTATCCAAATTTTAATTGGGGATATTTTACTGTTTTTATCCAAATTTTGATTGGGGATATTTTACTGTTTTTATCCAAATTTTAATTGGGGATATTTTATTTTATCCAAATTTTAATTGGGGATATTTAACTGTTTTTACTGGAACAAACTGAGAGTGAGGTGGCTCAGTCTGCATGTGAAGCTCTGTAACATGCTTTTAAGGGGAAAAAAGTATTTTATTTGTTTTTATGCAAATTTTAATTGGGGATATTTTACTGTTTTTATCCAAATTTTAATTGGGGATATTTTATTGTTTTTACTGGAACAAACTGAGAGTGAGGTGGCTCAGTCTGCATGTGAAGCTCTGTAACATGCTTTTAAGGGGAAAAAAGTATTTAATTTGTTTTAATGCAAATTTTAATTGGGGATATTTTACTGTTTTTATCCAAATTTTAATTGGGGATATTTTACTGTTTTTACTGGAACAAACTGAGAGTGAGGTGGCTCAGCCTGCATGTGAAGCTCTGTAACATGCTTTTAAGGGGGAAAAAGTATTTTATTTGTTTTTATCCAAAGTTTAATTGGGGATATTTTACTGTTTTTATCCAAATTTTAATTAGGGATATTTTATTGTTTTTACTAGAAAAAACTGAGAGTGAGGTGGCTCAGCCTGCATGTGAAGCTCTGTAACATGCTTTTAAGGGGGAAAAAGTATTTTATTTGTTTTTATGCAAATTTTAATTGGGGATATTTTACTGTTTTTATCCAAATTTTAATTGGGGATATTTTATTGTTTTTACTGGAACAAACTGAGAGTGAGGTGGCTCAGTCTGCATGTGAAGCTCTGTAACATGCTTTTAAGGGGAAAAAGTATTTTATTTGTTTTTATCCAAATTTTAATTGGGGATATTTTACTGTTTTATCCAAATTTTAATTGGGGATATTTTACTGTTTTAATCCAAATTTTAATTGGGGATATTTTACTGTTTTTATCCAAATTTTAATTGGGGATATTTTACTGTTTTAATCCAAATTTTAATTGGGGATATTTTACTGTTTTTATCCAAATTTTAATTGGGGATATTTAACACTGTTTTTACTGGAACAAACTGAGAGTGAGGTGGTTCAGTCTGCATGTGAAGCTCTGTAACATGCTTTTAAGGGGAAAAAAGTATTTTATTTGTTTTTATCCAAATTTTAATTGGGGATATTTTACTGTTTTATCCAAATTTTAATTGGGGATATTTTATTGTTTTTACTGGAACAAACTGAGAGTGAGGTGGCTCAGTCTGCATGTGAAGCTCTGTGACATGCTTTTAAGGGGAAAAAGTATTTTATTTGTTTTTATCCAAATTTTAATTGGGGATATTTTACTGTTTTTATCCAAATTTTAATTGGGGATATTTTACTGTTTTTATCCAAATTTTAATTGGGGATATTTTACTGTTTTTATCCAAATTTTAATTGGGGATATTTTTATTGTTTTTACTGGAACAAACTGAGAGTGAGGTGGCTCTGTGAGTGAGATGAGTCTGCATGTGAAGCTCTGTAACATGCTTTTAAGGGGAAAAAAGTATTTTATTTGATTTTATGCAAATTTTAATTGGGGATATTTTACTGTTTTTATCCAAATTTTAATTGGGGATATTTTATTGTTTTTACTGGAACAAACTGAGAGTGAGGTGGCTCAGTCTGCATGTGAAGCTCTGTAACATGCTTTTAAGGGGAAAAAGTATTTTATTTGTTTTTATCCAGATATTTTACTGTTTTTATCCAAATTTTAATTGGGGATATTTTACTGTTTTTATCCAAATTTTAATTGGGGATATTTTATTGTTTTTACTGGAACAAACTGAGAGTGAGGTGGCTCAGTCTGCATGTGAAGCTCTGTAACATGCTTTTAAGGGGAAAAAGTATTTTATTTGTTTTTATCCAAATTTTAATTGGGGATATTTTACTGTTTTTATCCAAATTTTAATTGGGGATATTTTACTGTTTTTATCCAAATCTTAATTGGGGATATTTAACTGTTTTTATCCAAATTTTAATTGGGAATATTTTACTGTTTTTACTGGAACAAACTGAGAGTGATGGGCTCAGTCTGCATGTGAAGCTCTGTAACATGCTTTTAAGGGGAAAAAAGTATTTTATTTGATTTTATGCAAATTTTAATTGGGGATATTTTACTGTTTTTATCCAAATTTTAATTGGCGATATTTTATTGTTTTTACTGGAACAAACTGAGAGTGAGGTGGCTCAGTCTGCATGTGAAGCTCTGTAACATGCTTTTAAGGGGAAAAAGTATTTTATTTGTTTTTATCCAAATTTTAATTGGGGATATTTTACTGTTTTATCCAAATTTTAATTGGGGATATTTTACTGTTTTTATCCAAATTTTAATTGGGGATATTTTACTGTTTTTATCCAAATTTTAATTGGGGATATTTTACTGTTTTTATCCAAAGTTTAATTGGGGATATTTTACTGTTTTATCCAAATTTTAATTGGGGATATTTTATTGTTTTTACTGGAACAAACTGAGAGTGAGGTGGCTCAGTCTGCATGTGAAGCTCTGTAACATGCTTTTAAGGGGAAAAAAATTTTTCATTTGTGTTTATCCAAATTTTAATTGGGGATATTTTACTGTTTTTATCCAAATTTTAATTGGGGATATTTTACTGTTTTTATCCAAATTTTGATTGGGGATATTTTACTGTTTTTATCCAAATTTTAATTGGGGATATTTTATTTTATCCAAATTTTAATTGGGGATATTTAACTGTTTTTACTGGAACAAACTGAGAGTGAGGTGGCTCAGTCTGCATGTGAAGCTCTGTAACATGCTTTTAAGGGGAAAAAAGTATTTTATTTGTTTTTATGCAAATTTTAATTGGGGATATTTTACTGTTTTTATCCAAATTTTAATTGGGGATATTTTATTGTTTTTACTGGAACAAACTGAGAGTGAGGTGGCTCAGTCTGCATGTGAAGCTCTGTAACATGCTTTTAAGGGGAAAAAAGTATTTAATTTGTTTTAATGCAAATTTTAATTGGGGATATTTTACTGTTTTTATCCAAATTTTAATTGGGGATATTTTACTGTTTTTACTGGAACAAACTGAGAGTGAGGTGGCTCAGTCTGCATGTTGCTCTGTAACATGCTTTTAAGGGGGAAAAAGTATTTTATTTGTTTTTATCCAAATTTTAATTTGGAATATTTTACTGTTTTTATCCAAATTTTAATTTGGAATATTTTACTGTTTTTATCCAAATTTTAATTTGGAATATTTTACTGTTTTTATCCAAATTTTAATTGGGGATATTTTTATTGTTTTTACTGGAACAAACTGAGAGTGAGGTGGCTCTGTGAGTGAGGTGAGTCTGCATGTGAAGCTCTGTAACATGCTTTTAAGGGGAAAAAAGTATTTTATTTGTTTTTATCCAAATTTTAATTGGGGATATTTTACTGTTTTATCCAAATTTTAATTGGGGATATTTTACTGTGTTATCCAAATTTTAATTGGGGATATTTTACAGTTTTATCCAAATTTTAATTGGGGATATTTTATTTTATCCAAATTTTAATTGGGGATATTTTACTGTTTTTACGGGAACAAACTGAGAGTGAGGTAGCTCAGTCTGCATGTGAATCTCTGTAACATGCTTTTAAGGGGAAAAAAGTATTTTATTTGTTTTTATCCAAATTTTAATTAGGGATATTTTACTGTTTTTATCCAAATTTTAATTGGGGATATTTTACTGTTTTTATCCAAATTTTAATTGAGGGATATTTTACTGTTTGTATCCAAATTTTAATTGGGGATATTTTTCTGCATTTATCCAAATTTTAATCGGATATTTTATTGTTTTTATCTAAATTTTAATTAGGGATATTTTACTGTTTTTATCTAAATTTTAATTGGAGATATTTTACTGTTTTTATCCTAATTTATAAGTTGAGGCAGGTCATTTTATGATTATTTGGGAAATGAGAGACTTTTTACATTATTTTATCCATTTGGGTGTGGGGGACAAAGGGAATATTTTACTTTTAAGACCAAATTTTTAATTTATACAGGAGACCTTTTTTTTTATCTTTTTTAGTTAAATGTTGAGCCCCCAAGTCAAATCAAAGACTTAAAAACTGGTACTCCAAAAGGAAAAGATAGGTGACCTACTGTGGGCATTTGTCTTGGTGAACTAGCACCTTAAAGTCCAGCTAACCCACAGGCCGGCTGGCTAGTACAAGCAGACAGGTATTTTTAATACCATTTGGCATTTTTAAACTTTGGCATTTTTCATTTGGCTTTTTGTTTTATGTGTTTTTGAACTATTTGGATTTATACCATTTGTCAATTTTCATTTATGTTTTTTTCATTTTTTTCAACATATTTTGTAATCAACACACCAAAAACACTTCAAAATTAAGAGTGGGATATATACTTTTTGGCCTCCATAATGTTTATCGATCAAAACAGCATTCTATTTTCAAATATACATTACACAATTTGGCTTTCTGTAACGTTGGCTGTTAATCTTTTGTACGAATGCTATGATGACCATTATGTGTAGAAAATAAGACTACATTTCTAAAAGTGGCTCAGGTTCATATATTTATGTTTGATATCAATCAGTTCTAAATTTCCTTCACATTTCTAAAACTTAAGATCTTCCATATCTGGTACATCTTATAATATCGTATTCATCTACTAACCCAATTTTCTCATAGGGACTTAACACGAAGCAGAAGGGGTATTAGGTGGTAGGTGGTTAAGGGTGTTATGATAGGGTGAAAGGGTGAGAAAGGGAGGGAGAAAAATAGAATGATGGAGAGGGTGAGGGTATATGATTGTGAGCGGAATATAGAGAGGGAGTTAATCTGTGAGAGAATGTGATTTCATAGTAAGGGCAGGGTGTACTGGTCTGGAAGTATAGTTTCTGTTTTGTCTCATGTAGTTTCTGTTTTCTACATCAATCTGATAAGTTTAAATATTGAGAAATTGCTGTCGTCTAAAAGTTCACAGGTTAACAGCCTTTCTTGTTACTGTTTATGTGCTGCTTATATATAAACATTGTAGCACTTCTCAGTAGCTAGATAGAGTTGTGGCTTTTCATCAAATTAAGCAGCAGCTTCTGTACAGTTCATGTTGGAATTATACCAAGTGCTGTGTTTTTCTTCCAAGTTGAGAACATTTTTGATCTTCATGAACTAGCAATTACACATGATGAAGCTTTTTATGGCCCCGCAACAAATATGGCCTCGCAACAAAGCTGTTGGGGCCATATAGTTTTACCCTTGTCTGTCATTCCATCATTCCGTCAATCCATCTTTCCATCATTCTGTCATTCCGTCATTCTGCAACAAACCATTATACGGGTTTTTTTTTCTAAATGCCTTCAGATATTAGGCTGATTTTTGGTATGTGAGTTCACCATGATGAGTTTTAGATGAAGTATTAGTTTCGTTCTGCTCCGCTAATTTTTGCCAAAATTACAGGCTTTGGACTTCGATAAATTGTTGAAAATCACAGTTATACAGACTTTATTTTTCTGCTAAAGTGATTTGTAGAACGTTCTTCGAATGTTCAACATTTTTCTGTTGGCCATGTTGTTGTGTTTTATTTTTATTTTTATTTTATTTTGCTTATGATTTTACATTGCGATCTATGTATTTTCTTCCATTTGTAGTATAGAGAGGATAACGAGCTTTTAAATTTTTCAAATATTGACGTAATCAAAGGGTACTTAAAAAAACTCAAATGCAAGGTTATATATATATTATCCTTTTAATTACACACACATATAATATGTATACATAATATAGTTGGTTTTTTTTCTTGAATTTGGAATATAATGAATTGCTAAACATGATGTTATCGATACGTCCCGTCCGTCAGCTTGTTTCTTCCTTTCAATCCATCCGTCAATAAACCTTGTAAGCACAACGTACAAGCTTAAGGTAGATGAGGGGTCTAAATTAAAATCAATTGAATTTTTTAATAATTTGTCAAAATGTAGTTAATATCATGCTTTCTTCAAAAATATAATAAAAAGTATGTGTCACCGGGCTTTTTTTCACGCTACAGGTTGTGCAAAATTGTCAGATTTTGTATAGATTATGCATGGAAAACCCAATTCTGAGTGATAAAAGAAAACTAAACCATAGAATTTTTAGATAAAATATGAGAAGACAGCTCTAATGATATGCTTTCAGATAAGTAAAAGAAAAAAATGGGGTCAACGGTCTCGTTTTCTTGCTACATAATAAAATAGGTAAATTCATAACACATTCTATAATTATAAAGTTACTTTATCTGAGTTATCTCCCCTTATGTGGCAAATTGAAAAAAAAAAATTGAATCAAATAAATTTATTCTGTTTTTTTGTAAAATACAGCCGTTAATTATGATAAAACACACAATTTTCTATATTAACATGAACAGTCTTAAATATGATTTACATACTACCCTCGAAATTTGCACATTTCATTAAAGATCTAGACCGAATGTTATCTGCTATTTCAAAATCCAAGATGGAGGAAGACACCCCAGCTACCTTAAACTGGCAATAAACTCATCACAGATACCACCCTTAAAATTGAGTAAGCCAGACGCGCATTTCGTCTACAAAAATGACGCTCGAATAAAAAAAATTAAAAAAGGTCAAATAAAGTACGAAGTCGAAGACCATTAAGGACCCAAATTTCCGAAAGGTTTAGCCAAATACAGCTAAGGTACTATATTCCTTGGGTAAAATTTACAGTTTTATAAACAGTTAGTTTATAATTATGACCATGCATACCAATCATAATTCGTGTCCACACAGAGGTGCTGACTACTGGGTTGATGATACCCTCGGAGAGGAAACCTCCAACATCAATGGCATCGATCCCGTGGTTGTAAATAAAATCACCATACAAACATATATGCACAGTGATCCATATGAAGATGTTCATGAAGGGATATTATTCATGAGGGATACATTTAGTAGCCTTAAAGAGTCGGTAATCATATTTACTGTGGAGCAAGGTAACACACTTCTTTATATAAATTAAAGTAATGCTGATTTCACAACACACCACACGTATTCCTTCATCATTCTAAAATACGATTTGATTCATTTTAATCAAATATAATATATCAATTGAATATGTTAAGGGAATGTGTTTTGTCTGACAAAGTTTAACTGCAATGAAATACTCCTTAATCAAAAGTAAGGAGAAAAATTCCTGTTATTGGCCTTTTAACTTTTTTTTATTTTTGAGTCACTGATGAGTATTTCGTAGACGAAACGCTAGTCTGGCGTACAAAACTAAAAGCCTGGTATCCTTGATGATTTCTTTAAATCAGGAAGTTTAAAACTATTTTTCAATGGATATCACCCTCCTTTTCCATGTTTTCTTTATATTGAAATAAAGAAGGGTTACTTACATTTAGGGCAATAAATTGCGTACGAAAATTCAAATTAAATTGCAGCAGTCCTGACACTTAACTGTGAAACGTTTTTTTAACATATTCCGGCAGTATGAAAACCTCTTTTTTCTCTTCAAAGTTTTTCTGACACTTTTTTCAAATCAGATACTTATTTCAGTAACTAATTTTCTCTCAATAAGCAAAGCAAAAAAACATTCCAGCAAAAATAGCATTACAATCAGAAAACAAAACAAGAGCAAATGTTTACCTATACTTTGACTAAAGTTTACCAGTTTAAGTTATATTGTTGTTGTTCGTAAATCGTAAGTCATAGATTAACAAAAAAAACATGGCCAAAAAGAAAGGCGATGAAATGAAAGCAAAAACAACACACAGAAAACTATAGACTGAGCAACACGAACCCCTTCACAAACCGGGAATGATATTAGATTACTCCTCGGAAGGGTAAGCAGATACTGATCAACTAGTGCCAATCATCATGTTGCTCATGACAAGCTATAATGGGTTGATAAGTCTAATTTAGTGGACAAGAGAACAGGATTGTGGCTACCATAGGAACATATTCGTTGGCATCTATTTTTTCTACAACGGTCAACCAAATCATAATGGCGTCCGAAGATTTTCGAAGGGGTCACCTCAACTCGTTGATTCAACTGTCTGTTTGCAAGCTGAAACACTCTACTATGAAAATAAGCATCGCAAACCCTGGAATATTGTATGAAATTGAGATATATATTACTATGTAGGCGCAGATGTTACTAGTACATAGAAATTCGAAGTTCACAATAGAAAAGCAGAAATCATTTATTTTGTCGCTTATTAAAGTTAATAAACGATCCTCGTTGTAAATTTAAAAAATAGATGTAAGTCAACAGGAAGTTTTTTTGTTTACTTTCGAATTATGAAAAATGTTCTCCGCCGAGAGTAGCTGGATACGACCGCAGAGGTCCAACCCTGAACAGTTGGGACAAAAAGACACAATATTCAAGCTTGATACATGTCTAAATTTGGATTGTAATTAAATATTTGACACATTATAGGTTTCTGACACAGAATAAATGTGGTAAAAGAACTTGAAATTGGTTATATGATTTGAATTTATTTTCAATTGAAGATTTCTTGCTGTTGTACAATACACTGTGCTGTTGCGCAATACTTAGTAAATCTGTTTTCAGACTATATACAAAGAATTAGCATAATAAATTGTGACCCCCAATTTTTTTTTCGAATTTGATCATTTCTTAAATCTTGAGGGGAAAAAATTGACACCCCCCACCCCCTTTTTTTCCAAAAAAAAATATTTGAATAAATTTTCTTTTTGTAAAATGTGGTACAATTTAAGAAACATCATACACTTAAACACAAGGTATTGTCCGAAAACTAGAAAAATGCTTGTTTTTGGCCCCTAATTCCTGAACGGTTTGGGCAATTACCCCCAAAATGAATCCCAACCTTCTACTTGTGGTATTAAACCTTGCGATACAATTTCAGAGCAATCAAAATACTTATACACAAGTTATTGTCCTGAAACTAAAAAAATAAAATTGAGAATGGAAATGGGTGTGGATCCAGGATTTTATAAAGAGGACCCCCTGGCAAGCCAACTTTTGGATTGATACTTGTAAAACGTCTATGCATTTATCATATGTTAAGCTCCATAGGGAAAGAGGGGAGTGCTAAATCCACCTCTACTGTTTTAATGTTTGAAAAAGAAGTTTGAGTTATCTCCCTGATTTTCCTCTAAAATAAAATATAGACTTTATAGAATTAAAATTTTTGTATCTTCTATTTGAATGGTAATACATTTTTTATGAAATAATGATTAACAATTTTTACGTCTTTCCCTTTGGACATGGGAATACCTCGAAATTTGAAGTTTTATTGAAGTTCTATATCAATACCTTTGGAATAAAACTATCCAAAAAGTGATGAATTGTGGATTGTTCTTCATTCAACTAAATCTTCTTCTATGAAACTACTTCTTTTTGGGCAGCTAGACTGCGACTCATACGAGCCAGCAGTTGCTGA